TGCTGTTTTAAATTCACCTGCAGCTGTTGTTTTCTAACCAGAATGTGTTTATGTTCTGCAGAGCTTCCAGTAGAACCAGACATCATCTACTCCTCAGTGAGGTAGTCCACCATCTGACCTCTGACCTCCAGCTGCTGCCTTCTGACTGCTGCATCCAACAGACTCTGTTCATGTCATTTATTTATTATTTCATGTCCTCTATGATCTCAATAAGCAGCAGTACATTTCTCTGTGTTTGTAGAATAAATTATCTCTTTGTCGCAGTTTAGTCTTTTTATTTCTCTCTAAAGTATTTCAGGTGATCATGAGTGAGAGCTGTGGTTTCATGTTCTCTGTGGGTTTCAGAGAGAATATAGAAAATAAGTCATTTGTCTCTGTCTGATGCACCAATGAACCACAGTTAACAACACGCTGCAGTGGAAACTTCCAGAGAAGAACCACAGTGGCTGTGGGCAGCTGAGAGGGTCTGACTTCATCAACCCTTTATTAAGATCAGATCATTTGTTTCAGGAAATGTTTTATCTAAATATGTCACCTACTAATATCTCTCCTTTATTACTTACTTTAAATGTTTTCATAAGAATCTCAGCCTGTTAGCTTCTGAATAATTTAATGCTTTATCTTATCAGTAATGTTTTATTTACCTGAAATGTTTGACCTAGAGATGAATAAATGATCATTTTTAATAAATTCTTATATTTGAGATCTAATTTTTTTAAATGTATTTATTTTAATGTAAATCCCTATATTGTCCCACAATGGGGAAATTCACACATTACATTTAACCCATCCCCTTCAGGAGCAGTGGGCTGCCATTGTGCAGCGCCCAGGGAGCAGTCTGGTGTTAAGGGTCTTGCTCAGAGACCCAGAGTGCCAGTCTTTGGGAATGAGACTGCCACCCGGGTCCCTAAGCAATGACTTCTGAAATAATTTGTCATTCCAGCAGCTACTCTGACTGTGAGTCCCAGCAGATCTCATTTCTTTGAGGAAGACTCTTTGAGGAAGACAACAGCTCTGCTGGATGGACTGTATGGAGGAACACAACCTGAGGGAACAGGAATGTGGTCAGAAAATTTAGATTTCTCTTATTTCATATATTAATTTATCCTTTTTACTCACTATAAAAGTTTTCATTCAGTCTGTTTCTCTCTCAAGGCCACACCATTCTCTGCAGTATGTTGTTTGTAGACCAGACATAGCTTCTTCCCATAACAAACCAGATTCTTTCTCAAGGTTTATTGATAACATGTTACTGTTTAACCAAAGTGTAATTTGTTTTGACTCTGACTACTGTTGTAAGTAAGGAGGAATGAACGCTGCTCATGCAGAACAGGGCAGAATGCTGTGCCATTAGGGCTGTATGATCAACTGTTCTCTCTTTGCAAAGTTTAATTTTCCATTTCCTCTTCTTCCTAATCCATACATCCATCCGTCTGTCAGTCAATCCAATTGTGCACAGGAGGCATTCATTAGGCTGTTTAATGAGATCTTAGAAAACTATAAACAGACTTTAAACTTTATCTGAGTCCCACTTTCTCCACTGTCTGCTGCTAAAACTCTAGAACCATCAGTTTCTTTGAGTTTCTCATCTTCATCCACCATTAAAGGTCAACTGGTTAAAGGCAAAGTTTTTCTCTCTAGATGTTGCTTTACTGCTTAGTGTTTCTCTTTTTGTAAATACTTCTATTTAAGTGTATTTAAGTGAAGAGAGACTTGGAGTTGATGACCACCTAGTGGTGAGTTGGATAAACTGGGAGAGCAATGAGGGTCTGCACTACTAAAGTAGAAAAGTTTTAGATAGATTGTCTTTTGGTCGTCCCTATAGCTCATAGGATCCTGTGATGATGCATCATTGGCCTCTTTCAGGTATCTCTGCACCTCCTGGATGCATCAGCTGTGATACT